AAGGAGGTGAGGGAGGAATGGGGTACGAGCCCCCGATGGGGAGGACTGAGCTGGCTCTGTGGGCTTCTGGGGGTGGAAGCTATCCTGCAGCCCCCCAATTGCCCTCTCTCCCCAGATGGCAGCCTGCGGCAAGTGCAGCCGGTCTGATGGCCGAGTGCTGTGATGTGCCCAGTGTGGGCACTCAGGGCACTCCAAGCCAGGACTGCTTTGCAAGCGGGGCACCCCTGAGAACTGTCTGTCCAGAGTGGGGGTCGGGTCCCTTTAAGCACAGCCCTCGGCTAGCCTGAGGCAGCAGCTCCACACTCTAAGTCCTCATCTGATGCCCTGCCGGCACTGCTTCCGGCCATCCTTAACCCCGGTTCAGGGTCCACTCAATGTGGACATGCTAGTTCGAATTAGCAAAACGCTAATTCGAACTAGTTTTTTAGTCTGGATCCGTTAATTCGAATTAGCTTAGTTCTAATTAACTAATTCGAACTACATTAGTTCGAATTAGCGCTGTAGTGTAGACATACCCTCGAATACTATTGGTTTCACCCCCACAAAAGTTATTTAAGTGGAGAGCAGTGATCAGTGGCCAGATTCAGATCTGAGGCCTGGTTTGAACTCTAAATACCCTAAATATTTGGTAGTATTTGGATTCAGGGTTTTTGTCCCAGGGGATTAGATAACAACCCCTGTTAGAAGCACAGACCCAGCCTCCCTATCCAGGTCTATCACCTGTGAATTAGTATATAACTCTGGTATGGATCTATATTCCTCCCCCTCTCTCTCCTTTAAACAACCATATTAAAGAGAAGAGATGAAGCAGTGTAATGAACCCTAAACAGAGTGTTATTGGGGGGATGAATTTACAAGACTAGGAATGGGAGAATAATCCAATGCATCTAATAGAACATAAACATGACAGCGCAGTGGAAGTGACAGCAAAACACTGGCATGAACCCAATAACCAACTGAACTATACCTTGGGCATAGGTAACACTCCTAAATAACCTTTCTTTCTCTTCACAGGGCTAGTAGCAGCAAGTGCAGGGCTGCCCAGGATCTGCTACCCGTAGCCTAACTGTAAGGCCTTGGCCAAGTCCCATGATGTTCTGGTTCAGGACGACCACCAAAGAGAATTTGCAGATGGATAGAACTATGACTGGATGGTAAGTAGGATGGTGCTCCTCTTCTCCCTGCTTCTGGTGCTGTTGGAGCTTCTTGCTGTTTGGTGGTGAACTGCAGGTGTGAGCTTGCTGCCACTAGGGAGGACAGCCTTGAGGCTGTCGTGACAGAGTCCCGCTGCAAGGTGGGAAAAAAGTCTGAGGTAAATGGAATCCACAGGGCTCTTTGGCAGGAAAGAACCGGTTGAGTCCAGCTTCTCAGTGATGATTCCTGAAGAAAAGCCTGCAAAAACTGACAATACCATAGGTTACAGACTCCATTTTGATGATCATGGACTCCATTTTGAATTAACTTAACCACTAGGCTAAACATCATAACACTTGATTTAACTAACAATCCTCTCACAAAAACATCCCTACAGGGTGTTGTTGGGGAACAGGTCCCGCTCTGGGAGAAGTAACAGGGGGGAAAAGCAATAACCCCACAACCACCACCACCTCTCACTCAGAGAAACTGGATATTTTTTTCAAAAAGCAATATCCCCACAACCACCACCTCTCTCACTCAGAGAAACTGGATATTTTTTTCCAGATTCAACTGTTTACTTTGTATAAATATTTGCTCTGAGAGAGAAGATTCTTATTCTATTATGCATATCGGTGAGGACACCCATACTATTAAAAAGAAAAATCTATTCTAACTTGGCCAAGTAGCTTTATTTTAAAAAGGACAAGATAACTCAGAAGATATTTCAAGATGTTAAAATTCAGTTTAGTAGCAGATTTATTCATGTCTAGACTGGGTGATGTTTATCTTAAATGCTGAGTGTCCTCATTCTTTTAAAAGAAGATGCCTGAGATCTTCTAAAATTGGCTGCTGTTCATGTGGGGATGACACACCATGAGGAAGTGTTGATGCAGTTTCTATGCAGCATTTTGCTGCGTGAAGCTAATAATCTTCTATCATCTACCAATCTATTTTTATTATGTATTTTACTAAACAAGCTGTTTTCTAATTCAGAAGCTGTAGTGGAATTTGACCTATTTATTTGCTCAACAATCAAGAGGCTGACGGAATATCTAGTCACTCAAATACATACATTTTGTAGCAGGTACAGATATAGCATATTTCCTCTTCCCTGCACTGATCTGTACCACAGAGGTAGGAAAAAGGGTTTCTGAGTTTTGCTGCTAAATTATCTTGTACCAAGGCCTCTTAAAACCATCAGTTTTGGGGTTTTATACTTGCTCCAAAACTATACAAATACATCAGAGTTAAAGAGAACAGTTCAGCAATATTTAACTTGAAAGCCAGGGCCTCATTGTACTTGGCACTGTACAAACATGCAGCAAGTGACAGCCTCTACCCCTACCCCTCTGACTCCAATCTTGCAATGAGCTACTTGAAGCTCCAGGTATCACATAGCAAGATCAGGGAGCTGCATTAGGGGTGTGATCAAAATAAAATATATGCAGTAGCAATGAAAATTGGCATGTTGGAACAGGGATACAATATAGAATATTCAGGTTAAGTAGGATAGTGTTAGAACTACTTTTGCCTATGCACCCCATTTCAGAGCTCTCAGGGCCCCAAGGAAGGTGAACAAGTCACTTCTAATTAATTTCTTTCTTTCTTTAAGCACAAGTAGTGTATAAAACAGATCTGAGAATAAAAGCACATACTAAAATGTTCCTAAAACTACAAGATACACAGGATTTGAACTTTCAGTCTTTGAAATCCAAACCACTCCCTGTTGTAAGTACCATGTGTTAAATTAGATATTGTAGGAGGATTTCTCTTATGTCTCAGGAATATAAGCGTATTGTGATTTACAAGAAAAAATAAAACTACAGAGAGCTCAAGCAAAGCCTGTCTCCTCAGCCCAGGGCTGGAATGGCATATACGGGTAGATTATTTTGGTAACAATTATTGCAGATTAGGGCTGGTTCCTTGGCAAACTAATGGGGGGAGGCATAGTCCTTCCATACCATTATAACTATGTGCAGCCAGTAGTTAGTCTCATTTTCATCAGCACCAAATTTAGATCAATATTTAACAAGGGGGAAAAACATAGCTTTTTGGCCAAGAGCATAGAATGTGTCTGTTATTCAGTACTTGTGGGAGACAGCCTGTAAGGTCCATTGCTTCAGTTATAAGAGAAGTTATTACTACATTAACACTTCCTAATTATTGCAATAGTCTCCAGTTCTGAGAATAGGGAAAAAAACTATGGCACAGACTTCTGGTTGGCAACTCTTGGTAAGTGCCAACTGTTAAAAATGTAGAAGGACTGCATTATGATCTATTTTTTTCTTCTTCCAGGTTTAAGTCTCATTTTGATAATGTATCCCAAAATAGTATCTTACAGTACATATGGTTATTGCAATGAAACTGCCAGAGTAAGACATTCTTTTTCATTTTAAAATGAAAGGCTCGCATTTTCTCAGTAAGCGTGAATTAAATGATCCCGTGTGCTCAGCATCTTTGCATAAATAAATACAAAACAACTTTGCATTTTGTAGAGTCACAGTAGCTAATCTCAATTGTTTTTCTGGAGAATGAATTTGTGTGTTCACAGATATAGGAACTATTCACGAAATACCCCTACAAAGGAAAGAAAATCCTGAAGAAACAGCAGCATTTTAAATGCCAAAAATATTTTGTTGTCTCTTTCCAATGTTCAAGCATGCAGCTTGATTTGTTAATCCTTCAACATTCCTCAACTTTTTCACAAGATCAGAAATACAGGAAATTTTACTGGAACTAATCAAACTTGTTATTACAGCAATAATAGTTTTTATTTTGCATCCAATGAATATTTGTTTTGGTTATTGCCACTGGCCAAGTGACATTTGATAAATAATGAATACTGCAACATAGTTTTCTCATCAATCAAGCCATATAAAAGGCCAATCCAGTGATTTAATCTCCTTTTGCTGCAAGCTGCCCAAAACACAGTGGTTTTTAACAAGACGTTTTTGTTCTAAGAGTAAACACTTGATCCAAGTCTTGTCATTACTTTAAAAAATTACATGCATGATACCCAGTTCCTGGGAAACATGAAGCTGTCTTACAAGTATTCTTTAGAATTGAATTCCTTTTAAACAGAGTTAGGATGATCTTTTGCAAGATCGATGCCAAAATAGGGAAAATTGAATTTAAAATTCACCATATAGCTTCATTTCCTGAGAGACATTTTTTTTAAAAAAAATTTCATTTCTGGTTTAATTTTAAACAAAGAGTGAACAATTCCTGTTGTTTGGTCACATATACTACAAAAATAAGGTATTTCTATAAGCATATGATTTTCCACTTTCCAATTAATTCAAGAATGAAATAGGAGGCATGGTTCCTAAATCCTCTCTCTCTCTCTCTCTCTTACATCAATGAGTTTTAGAGTCATTCTGGCATATTTTGCCATAACACACATTTGAGTTCTCTCTTCACCTACTAGCACAGCATGGTCAGTTACCATGTGTGCATTCTAGCTGTGTCCCACTCCAAGTTTGCATTTCCTTCTTGAGAGAAATCTGTTTAGTTCTTGGCTTCTACAAGCCCAACTGCGCAAACTTTTCTGAGGAAGAATTACTGATGAAATAAAAACTGTCTATGTCAAAGATTGCAGCATTTGTTGTCATCGCTGATGTTCATTAGACGGGTTAGTCCTTGTCCCTGACAGTGCAGGATTACACCCTAAAACCAGCTAATCTCTATTTATGTGAGCAGAGGGGAGCAAAAGGCAGGAGTACTTGGCCTGGGTATCCTAGCCATTTCCTCCTGGCTTGCCTATAGAAGCCTATCATCCAGCTGGGCCTATGCAGAGCCATAATTGTGAAATGGATTCCACAAAGCAACCCAATGATTTGGTCACTTCCCCTAAACTAGGGAATTGTTCATTGGAAAATGTACACAGGAGTTTATATTCCTTTAACATCAATGAGCAGTGGTATGAAATAGGGAAATGAGGCCTTTGCTCTTCAAGCTTTGTGCTTGCAGGATTTCAAACAATGAGCAACAGATATTTTAAATACTCTTGTTTTCCCCAAATGGCTAGAATCATAGGAGATGGAACAGAGAGAACACTGAGGGTACGTCTAGAGGGGTATTCTGGAAAAGCTCTGCAGTGTCCAAGAGATGCGTCCAGTTTTCTGAAAAAAATGTCGGAAAAGCGGAAGCGTTTTGTTGGCATCCCTGTAAATCTCATCTTACAAGGAAGAAGGGGATGTTCTGAAAGGGTTTTTTTTCCCCAAAATTTGGCCCCATGTAGATGGGCCAGATTTCAAAGCCTCTTTCGGAAGTAAACTGGAAAAAGAAACGCAACTCTGCTACCCTTATACTCTACACCCTTTTAAGCTTCATACTGTCAGGATAGTTAAATTCTGCAGTCGACGTCCAATGGAGGTTGTGAAATCCTCATCACAGGAAGTTTTTAAATTACCAACTTTCAGAGATGGTCTAGGTTTGCTTGCTCCTACCTAAAAACAGTGCAGGTCTTTTGAGGTACTTCCCAGATTTACATTATTATGACCTGAGTAACCATCAGTCTCTCCTCACAGTCCTGTCTCACAGCTTTCCTACTTGGTGTCAAGGCATCTGAATCTCTGAGTCTGGAAGGGAACCTGACAGAGAAGTTGAGAGCAAACTTGGAAGTGTAGCAGCCTTTCTTGGAAGGCTGTGGTATTAAAAAGAAAATCAGAGAGTATGAAGCTCTTCATGTCACTACATGTAGCAGTCCCAAAAGCACTGTAGGTCTATGATACTTTCCTGTGTGAGTGTAAAAGGAATAAAAAAAACTACTCAATGAAATCATTCCAAAGTTTCAAGAATAGGTTGATCCCTGTCAAAAGATCGCATGTGTAAGATACATTTCCTTGACCGGGAAGAAGATAATCCATTATTTATCTACATAAAGCTAAAGCCACACAAATTTGAACAGTTAATGGATGAGCCAGTCAGAGACTGGGCTTTTTGTGATACACCTGCTAACCAAGTTAAAGCAAAGATACTGAAAGAAAAAAACTTGACTTTACAAAGAGCAGATATTTGCAAGATGATTGAAATCTGTATTTCTCAAAGTCAAACTAAAGTGCATCTAATCTTACTATATATTTTAGAAATGTGTGTCTGTCTATCTGCCAGTCTATGAGTCTGTTTGTTCAAGAACTCCTCCTAAACAGTAAGAGCTAGGACCACCAAATCTTGAATATAGCTTTCCCTTATCATAAGTTAAAGCAAGTCTGGTTGTGCCAAGATAATGGGCTGTGCCTGGAATTTGTTTCTCAGAAAATGGA